CGGGATCCGGAGGCTGAGCAGGGGGGAGTCCCGAGCGCCGCCCCTCCTTCCGGGATCCGACCCGGGCCAGAGGGGATCCCGAGCAGCGTCTCCTCCCTCAGACCCAGCATAGGCATCTGGGTGCTCCCAACCTCTCTCCGCGCTCCCTCACACCCCAGGATCCGCGGGTCACAGGAGGAGAAGACCGAGGACCGAAGGGGCACGTCCTGAGCGCCGTCCCCTTCCCCAGGATCCGGACAATGGGATCCTGGACGCACCCCATCCCTGTCCCCCGGATCCTGAGATGGTTCGGGTGGAGGCGGGGGCTCCCAGATGCCGCGTGTCTTCTCTCCACCTCCAGTCCCAGGAGGCCGCTTCGGTCGGGAGCCCAGGGGGGAGCAAACCGGGAGCGCGACGGAGGCGATCCCGGGCCCGGGGGAAAGGGGACGGAGGCGGTGGCAGCCCGGCCCCCTCCCGCCGTCGCCCCGCTGAGAGCCCCGGCCGCTGTCCCCATCTGACAACCCGCACGGGAAGGAAGAAGCCCCAGGACTCACGTCGCTCTCCACCTCGATGTCATCGTTGTCGCTCATTTCCTACGGCCCAGGGAGCGGCCACTGCAGCGGCGGCGGGGAGGGGGAGGGGCGGAGGGGAGGGGGAAGTCACCGACAACAACAAGCCGAGTCCCCCCCCACACACACTCACTCACTCACTCTCTCACTCACTCACACACACACACACACACCACAGGCGAGAACCACCTCCTCACTGCAGCACCGGATCAACGGCGGCACGCACGCCCGGTCGGCCCCCTGCCACGTGACGGGGCTCATCGCGCTGAGGCCACCGAGACTTGTAGTTCTCGTTCCTTTGACTGACGGCCCGGCTAGGACCAGAAAAACTACAATCCCATAAGGAACTGCGGCCAGTCGACGCCAGCCCGGCTTGTTGACGGAGCCCAGGGCGCCTGCGTGTCCCGGGAGGGGGCGGAGAGAGAAGCGGCGCGGTGCCTGCTGGGAGCCGTAGTCCGGAGACCGCGAGTTGTCAGGAGGTTTTCCTCCTGAGGCAGCACAGGAGGCTGCTGGGAAGACAGGACACGTGGACTGAACTGGGGCTCCTGGAACCGGGCACCTTCTGCGCTCTGGGCGCCGGGCCCAGGGGATGGGGCGGAGGCTCTGGGGGCGTAACCGGCTGCCTAAATAACACTGCCTCTCTTTGGTGACTGGTTTTAGTTTGTCTTCTTGACGCCGGCGTCTCGCCTCTTTGCGTACCGGGGCGTAAGTCGCCTGGGAGTGAATTCTGCTGTGGCGGACTAGGGGGCGCGGCTCGGGATGCCCAGGCGGACCCTCGGGATCTGGCTATAGGGAAGTATCAATAGCAGGTGTTAAGTGGCGTTACGGGACGTGCAGGATCACCCGCCTCGCTGTGGGACCGCTCCCAGCCGCGAGAACCTTGTGTTCATGTAGTCCGGGAGTGAGCATCCCTGCTGCTCAGCTGCTCACGCGAGCCTCTTACACTCACAGAGCCCCGACCCTCCACAACCGCGTACGTGCAAGTAAAAGCCCCTTGTGAGTTTGGCGTAGCCCAGGCAATTTAGGGACTGCCCCACCCAGTTCAGAGTATTTAAATAACTAAGAATTGCAGGAATGACGAAAGCGGGAAACTTGTGCAGCCCCCTACCCAGTTAAAATCATACTTATATACTGTGGCATGAAGTGTAATCACATCCTTTCCACCAATATTTATTGAACATCTAAGTGCCAGCACGGGGATGCCGTAATACATGAGACCTGGACAGTCCCTGCCTTCACGCAGGTGACAGCTGTGGAAACAACATGAGTGTCCTGCCACCATTTTAAGAGTGTGCATCAAGTCCAATAGGAAGGAAAAACAAAATAGTAACAAAGACACATTCCATCCTGAGATAAACAAAGTAAGCAGACTACTCTCTTACACTGGTCGCCAAAATGAATGAAATAGAGCTTTTACCATGAGTTACTGATTTCCAAATAAAAACCATTTTATCCCCGACTTTTGAATGTAGAAATTTGGGGATATGTCACACACAACCTTTGTGACATATATCCCCATGTGAGCATATGATCCATGCTGAAGAGACAAATATAAGTGTGGTAATTTATTTTCTTTAAATATCTGTTGCATTTCTTATTTAGTGATTCAGGCCTACTGAAGTCTGCATATCTTTGCAAGAGAGCTTGTCTTTTCTAAATGTTTTTGCCTCCTAGTGTTCCTTTCACACTAAGTTGGAGAAACACATAAGCAGACCATTATGTGATAAGAGCTGATGGACTATAAAGGAGACAAGGACGGTAGCTCTTGGGTGAGTTAACTAACTGGATACTAGAAGTTAGCGCTAACTGTTTATTACAATAAACAATCATTGGGTGCCTGCTATGTGCAAAGCACTATAGGGCAATCCTGGCTACAGGTTAAAAATCACCCTGGGGGCTTTAAAAAATTTCGATGCCCAGGCCATACCCCAAACCAATTAAGTCAGAACCGCTGGGGGTGAGAACCAGGCAGCAGTATTGTTTAAAGCTCTTCATGCAATTTCAATGTGCACCCAAGACTGAGAACCGCTGCTATAGAGGATGCCAAGATAAATAAGATAGTCTTCCACTGAATTGAACACTTGAAAAGACTGAATTTTATGGTATGTTAACAATTATATTTCAATAAAGCTGTTAAGAAGGAAAAATAACATCATTTTTGCGTACGTCGAATCTAAAACCTGACCAAGGAGTAAGTTATGAACACAAATAATTGCAATGAAGACAGACTATGTGAGTGTAAAGTTAGTTGTACAGACAATGAAAGCTGTGAGAGCTCAGAGGAAGGAGAAAGGGTGCTAGGTTTGAGGTGGGGGTGGGGAGGTGTTGGTGATCGGGGAAGTCTTCTTAGGCTGTCTGCTGCATCAGGGCAAAGACTGTATCTGCAGAGACCAGGTCAGAGTTTGCTCACCACGAATCCCTAGTTGTTGGATGGAGGCCTGAGCAAGTAGGGTGAGATGAGGAGGAAAGGCTTTCCAGGTAGAGAGACTGACGATTTTAGCACATCTCTTTTCTTTTTAGTAATTGATAGAATAACTGGTCAATAAATTTGACCTAATAAACATAAAACACTGCAACCAACAATTGTAGAGTATGTTATTTCCAAGCACTCATGGAACATTTACAAAAATCAACCATGTTCTAAGTCATAAAGCAAATCTCAACAAGTTTCAAAGGACTGTGATCTTAGAGAGCGTGTTCTTGAACCTAATGCAATTAAAGTAGAAATTAAAGTAGAAATGTTAACAAAAGATAATTAGAAAATTCTCATAAGTTTGGGATTTAAGAAACACTTTTAAATGACCCAAATGGAAGGAGTTTCATGAGCAAGGCACATATGCAGAAAAGAACTAGGCATAGGAAAACAGAAATTTCCTTCAGTTTTCCTTTTTAGTTTTTCTGATGTAAGTAAATCTAGGATCCTAAGAATTCATTTTCATCTCTACACGCTTGAGTGTCTGGTAAATCCCTACATGAGCTTATCAAGACTGTATCTTGTCAGCTTGCTGCTACTTCAAGTGTGGTCCAGTGGTAAACACATCACCAGGACGCTTGCTAGAAATGCCAAACCTCAGGCCCCACCCTAGACCTACTAAATCAGATCTGCATTATGACAATATGCCCAGGTAATTCACAGGCACGTTAGAGTTCAAGAAGCTCTGCTGGGGGAGGGAGGGAGCAGCAGAGTGGGGCAGGCAGGTAGACTGCCTCTATTTCTCTTCAGCTCTTTTACAGTTGGGCATCCGTCCTACCACTTGACTAAAATCAATCATCTCCAGGCCACCAGCTACCTCTTTATTGCTAAATCCAAAGCTCTTATCTTATCTGACCTGACGGTGACCTTCTTTTTTTTTTTTTTTTAATTTTTATTTTGTCGATATACAATGTGGTTGATTATTATGGCCCATCACCGAAATGACGGTGACCTTCAATACTGGTCACTCAAGTATGTAGATATGAAAATGAATTCTTAGGATCCTAGAGTCTTATTTACATCAGAAAAGCACTGAAAAGGAAAACTAAAGGAAATGTGATCACTTCTCTTTCCTGAAGGCTAAGAACTCTTGTGCTTTCCTCCTACCTCCTTGGCTATCCTTCTTTGTGCTTTCTCTGGTTCCCATTGCACCTCACTGTTTGAGTTCTAGGGGTTCTGTGCTTGGCTTTCCCCTATTCTCCTTCCACTCCCTGCCTGGTGGGCTCCTCCACCTCCTAAGGCTTTGATGACCATCTCTCCAATAGTGACCCGAGACTGTATCTCTCTCTTTAACTCTAGATTGTTGTTTGCAATATTTTTCTGGACACATCTACGTCAATTTTTCCACAGACAACTCAAAACTCAAGGCTTATGAATGAGTGAGAAAAGCTAGGTTTTGATACAGCATTTGCAGTATGAGCCATTCATATAAAACTGAACATATCCGTATGAGTATGTATGTGCAGAGAAATGTGTAGAAGGCTGTTCGGCAAAAATGTTAATAGCATTTGTCTTTGAGAAGTGAGGTTTCCAATGAGTTTTCTTTTTCTTTTCTTTTGAAAGTGAGCAGCGTTATCCTTGCCAAAACAGTAGAGCTATTAAAAGACAGCCACTATCTCAATAAGCCCAGTATCTTTCCTAAGCAGAAAACTTCTCAACCCATAACCCTTAAGGCGGTCACGTCCTTTTCACATGTCGGTAGTGCTTGCTTTCTCATTATTTGGGATGGGAGGTGTAACCATCAGGGTTCCTGCAGGAACCAGCTGGCACACTCAAATTAGAATCATTTGAGGAGTTTTTAACGAAGAGGTTGTTTACAAATATGTGGGTAGGGTATAAAGAAACTACAAGGGAAGTTGTAGTTTCCTCAAGCCTGTAGGGAAGAGGGGACAGAGTGGTGACTAGAACTGGGAAGGATAAGGGCTGTGTGGAGAGGACGGTCTCACAGGAGCTTAGGCCTGGGGCCTAGAGCAATTGGATCTAGAAGGAATTTATCTCAAGGCACAGTGAGAAGCCCTTTTCTCTTCTCTTGCATTTTCAGAGAAGGCAGGTAACTTCCAATCCACTCTTCAGAAAGGGAAAATTATGGGAAGAATACTTCTGGCATCTCTGCCCCCTCCTTTATTTCCCCTTGGAGGGTGAGTGACAGACTCATCAGCTTAGTGAGCTTGAAGGAGAAACTGGTTGCCTGTGGCTCAGCCCTTGCTCCCTGAGCTGTAAGAATCTACTTCTACTCTTCTCTTCTGCATGGCATTTGTCCCTGGGGAGACCTGTGGTGGCCCCGCTTTGCTATGACTAGGTGGGTAAGGTTAATTCAAGGAATATCAGGGAGGCCACACCTCCCTCTCCAATTTAACCTTATCAATGATGAAGCTACTATTTTTGTCTCCATCTGTCTGATTTATATCTCTGAATTGGTTCCAGATTCAGGGTGGGAGACCTGAAGGTTATTTATTGGCCATCTTAAACCCCAACATCCCTCCCTTACCCATCAGTCCCTCATCTAGTCAATCGGCAAGTCTGGTATGTTCCAGGCCTTTCACGTGCTTAGCTCCCACCGCAGATCCTGCCTGATTCTGGGCTCGGCCATCTCTCACCTAGGCAATGGCCTCCTGATGAGTATCCCTGCCTCTAGGCTCGCCCTTCTCTTGCTGTTCTCCACCCCGCTGCAGCAAGGCTTTCTATCAGGAATGAAGTATCTTCACTCCCTTGATTAAACATTTAAATCCTTCCCAATGACCT